CCCAGCTGGGGCATAAAGCAGCTGAAAAGAAGCCACACAACACAGCTGGTCCATGAAATCACTGAGAATCAGACCCAACTGAACAGAAAGCATCCTTATAAACTGGATAGGGAGCAGCAGCACGATATGGTTGCAAAACTGCAGGAGGTTTTGGATCTCTCACACCAGGATTCAGAGAAACTGGGACAAGTTCAGAGAAGTGCAGCTGGGAAGATTGGGGACTAGAAACAAATTCCCTGGAAGAGACACTGAAGGATTTGAGCATGTTCGGATCTGCACAAAAAGAGTCTAAGAGGAATCAAGATGAAGTCGACGGTTCAAAGTTGTTTTTAGATCATTCCAGAGTGCAGCGCATAAAGCAATGCATTTAAGTTACCAGAGAGACAGATTTCAACTGCACGTTAACAAAAGCTTCCTGGTGGTTGGGTGTTGGGGAGCCAAGGGCCAAAGCCAGAGTGGGCACTTCTTTGCTGAAAGGAAATGTCAAGGTCATTTGTTGATGTCAACCTGGTCATCATCGCTTTCCTTCAAGCTTACTGCCAGCTGATATGGAAATGGGGAGGGAGGGAGCAATGGGCATTTTGGAGGGGAAGCATGCAAGTGGTGTGAGAGTGGATGGGGTAGTTTGGCCTCAGAGAGGCCCCCTTGGGTTGCTTAACATCTTCAAGGCCAACCGTCTTGGAAACGGTATGCATGATGGCAGTGTGGAGCATCTGAGACTTTCCCAAAACAACTTCCTAGCCAATGATTGGACTCTGTCTGCTTAACTTGACTAATGGGGGGGGGGGGGCTCTGGGGTTAGTTCCAATTTGTCTTTTTCATGCCTATTTGCTTCAGACCTTCCTGACTTTTGCTGCATTCAGTTTGTTCTTAGTAAAGGTACCTTTTCTCTGAATCTATGGAGTCAAGGGTTTCCTTTCTAAATCATATGAAGAATGGTTGCAGGAACTGGGTATGTCTAGTTTAATAAAAAGAAGGACAAGGGGAGACATGATAGCAGTCTTCCAATAT